GTACTCTTAGGGGATTGCCAGAGGTATAGTAACAGCAGCAAATGTCTCAGAATGGCACTTTACCATCACAATGCCACGTTTCAAGTAAATATGGCTGCCTTTTCCTTTTTAAATGAGTGAAAATGCATTAATTAAACACACACATTCCCACACATGCTAACATCTGCTCTTCTGCAATCAAGTAATTTCTGCATAGTGTCTAAATATCTATTCCAAAAGCAATAGTCCTTAAACACTCCCATATGCCTCTTTGCAGCCAGGAAGAAAAACAGTTGCTATGACTATGTTTGAACATATTTTAAATATATGTATAATCATTGCCAATTTATCTGCTTTGCAGATACTAGTTTCCTATACAGTATTTAATATCTCCCTTTACTGAAAATGTCCTTGCTCAGTATTGTCATTAATGGCTTTCATCCTTATTATATGTCTGAATGTTAGAATTGTTCATTAATCTCTTTTTTAATGTGATGATCTTCAGCATAAAGTTTAATGGTCTTCTCTACCATCACTATATGTTATTTAAAACATTTTCCATGCATTCACTTTGAATGGGATTTTCTGACTTTGCAAGCCTTTGGTCAGTAGGAGAGGCTCTAGAGAGGAAGGGATACTGAAGAACAGCAGTATGAATTAAACAAATTTAAGTAATGAAGTAAGTATTAATCTAGCCATTAAGAAATATATATTAATTTTTTACATAATATACAATGAATATATTAACAAATAGCTTAAAAATGAGATAATCCACTGCACTAAGTATCTTAAAATATGAATTAAAAGATGTGGTAAAATCACTATATTAATAAAATTTTTAAAATTTTGTAAAGTGAAGGATTAAGAAGTACATTTTGGTCCAGAAGACAAAGTACCTGAAAAACATCATGGCATTTTGTAGATTTTCAAAATCATAGATCATCTCTATTAACAACTCTATTATCAGTACTGGAAAGTGTCATTATGACTATATTTTATTAGCATTCAAGAAACTAAAGTGCTGAACACTGGTTTTAACAAATAAAAAACATCTTATCTGATTAAGAAGTTAAAATGAACTCAGAAATTAAAATATCTGCAAATAAAAACTTTTCATTGACTGCAGTGAAAAACACTTGAGTATGAAGATTTTCTATTTTTTTAGTTTGTGCTCCAAATTTCAGAAAAGGGTTCTATGCACATTGCAGGGTACGGAGTAAATATTTAACAAATAAGAACTCTTGAATTCATTACCTTGTGCTAGCAACTATGATTTCTCTTGTATGAACATGACTAGAATTCAGCACTATGAATTATTAATGTCTTTATCTAATTCCCATATTTGTATCAACCAAACCTGAATGCTAATCAGAAGACCTCATGCACTTCTATTTTCTAGGCTTTCACTTTGCATATCACTTCATCAATGCATGCCAGCTTTTGACATTGTTATAGCAAAACAAAGACTATAAACATACAGGACAGGCATTTGCCAAAGAACGAAATAAAACAGGTTTCAGATATGAAATTAGAGCCGTGCTTAGTTGTGCATCCATCTGAGTGCTTCACCTGAAGAGAGCCCTTCAGCCCTGCTGCATGTGTGAATCACCTAGGGTGACTTGCAACAGTGGCTGGTCCCACTATAACTTACTTTTGTCTAGATTATAATACTAATTTTTTGAATTTTATTTAATTGATTGCAAAGGAAGCACACTAGTTGATAGCAAATGTGTGTGTATATGCATATATATACACATGCACATATACACACACAATTCTTGGTGCTTAAAAATCGTGGGACAGAGTTTACCATAACTATTGAGTTTAAATGCTATTTATCCAATTGTTAGAGTGAAAGCAAGGAGGGAAAATAATGTAAAGGAAAGCCTTTTTTAAAAAAAATATGTTTTTATTGATTTCAGAGAGAGGGGAAGGAGAGAGAGAGAAAGAAACATCAATGATGAGAGAGAGTCATTGATTGGCTGCTTCCTGCAAGCCCCCCACTGGGGATCAAGCCCCAAACCGGGCATGTGCCCTGACCGGGAATCCAACTGTGACCTCCTGGTCCATAGATCGGTGCTCAATCACTGAGCCACGTTGGCTGGGCAAAGACAAGTGTTTTTTATTTATTAAAAATAGTCTTAGGAGGGTGGGACAAGATTAACCAAATAACTTATAAGCGTATATGACGAGCCCATGGACACAGACAATAGGCAGGTGAAGGCCTGGGGTGAGGGGAAGATGGACAGAGGGGGACAACCGGAGGGGAACGGGGGACATCTGTAATACTCTCAACAATAAAATAAATTTTAAAAATAGTCTTGAAGAAGTCTTGAGGATATCGATACTAAATGGGAACACAAAAATCTTGTTGCTTTGTTTACTTCCTAGTCTGTGGCGATGCAAACAAAAGAAGTTAACCTGAAATTTAAGTTCAGGAAGCCTAATTGTATCAGGTACAGCCAAACATTACCTAACTCGCTATTAATTGTTTTCAAACAAACAAATTTCTGTTCCCTTCCGTCTCCCTATCTCCCTTTATGTCCCCTTTACCCCACCTCGTTGTCCCCAACCCTCTCTCCTCTACTAGAAGGTATTTCTGTGCCCCCTGGTATACACTAGGTCAACAGGAAAAATCATAAATGCAGGCAGAGGCATTTCGAGATGGAAGGAACAAGCTCTACACACTGTTAACACAGAGACAGCATTTCAGAATGAGTTACAAAAAGCAAAATTTTAAAAATTTAATTATGGCTGAAGCCTGCAAATCAGGTTATCTTGCCTCATAGAGAAGTGCGGGGGGCGAGGGGTCGTGGGGACGTGGCCTGTGCACCGGGAGAAGCAGTCGCTGCATCCTACTATGTGCCACGCTCAGGGTGGCTCGAAGCCAGTGGTGCGGGCACCGTTATTACTGGTTTGCCACTCGATGTCGCACTAAATATTTCACTTCGGTTGGGCTTCAGTTTTCCTGCCTCCAAAATGGGGGCTCCCAGACGAAGGAAAACATTTCAAATCTTTTCAGGGCCTGAGAGTCGCTGACCTTAGTGTTTTCATGCCCTTTATAAAGGTCAAGTTTTCACAAAAGATAACATTCTTAAAGCCTTTAGAGAGGAAAAGCTGTATATGGGAAGTCCGTTCAGTGCCCAGGGCTGCTCCAGCCTGACTGCTATTTATAACCAGGTGTGGGCCCCGAAGACAAGACATTTGCTTTAACTAACAACTGCCCTGGTCTCTTGGAGTTAAATATACGTTTTTCATTTTTCTAAGTGTTGATTTAACAAACCATTGAAAACAGGAATTATTTTAATTTACTTATTGGATTGCCTGGCATGGAACCCTCTTTAAAGGTTGTAGGTCTGTCTGGACATACGTATAGTCAGTCTCCACCCTGCTGTTTGATCACAGGCCACTTATAGAACCAACATGCAACTGATTTGATCTCCTATGTATTCCTTAGAGTTGTTTTTCCCTTCTGAATTTCATGCCAGTTTACTCGAATTTCAATTCAGGGAGAAATTTATAAATTTCTCTGTGAGCTTATTTTCATTCCTATGACTCTTACTGATTTTATTTTAATACAGAGGACTTCACCAAATTCATAAACATTTGCTAGAGTAAAAAACAGAAGAAAACAAAAATCATCATTAGGAAAAACCCAAAACCTCTGATAGAAAATGAGAGAGCGAGCGAGCTAGAGAACTGGTTTTGTGAAAGCTGCAGTGCGCTGGATTTTACATTCCTTTCTTTACTAAAGTGGATTTTGTTCCTCTTGGGCATACGGAAGATAGTAACAGTAGCTCACAGAGAGATAGCTGCAGCACTATGGCTGTCCTACCACCTATGGAAAAACATAAATAATTTTAGCAGCTAGTGATTTTGAAATTGCCCTTAACTTTGTCATCATAAAAATGCTCCAAAAATTGTGTTTTGCAAGTAAGACGGCACAGGAGCTTATTGTGGATTTTCTGTCTGCATTCAAGTCATTTGATAGTATGTCTAGTGCAGGCACTATGCCTAACTACAATGGGATGAGTGGTAAATGGCCAAAACTCGATAAATTCTGTCATGTATCAGTAGTCTGAGGTCCAGGCCGCCATGCCATGGGCCTCGGCAAACATGGATTCCGTGTTGGTTTTATCACCCTTAGAATCACGGGGACTCATCTATTCTTTCAACAAATTTTACTGCTTACGTTGCACGTGTCAGTCACAGCGCTGGGGCCTCAGAGTGCAGAAGCAAACGAAGGAAAAAAGGCCGAATGCCTGTTACCATATTAACCTGTTTGCTTAGTCATCCATCAGTTGCCCAACGTGTGTCTTCACACTGAGTCCCCACTAGGGGCCAAGGATATAACTGCGAATGAGGTGGATAGCCCTGATTTTGATGTCACTGGCATCTTTTTATTTTCTCGCCATATGATGGGACATCTTCATTGTTCCCTTTGCCCTAAGTTTTTATGTCAAATTGCTAATGAAGATAAAATTGTTAGTGTGGTTTTGACGTTAATAGGCAAATCAAAGAGATTTCCCAAGCCCAGCTCTGCTCCCTTCTGTGCCGACACTAGGACTCGATGTGCCCCCCCAAGAACCAAGCCAATTCCTAGCACCCTTGACTGGGCTGCTCCTCACTTAGAAGCCTTGAGGCCATCATGGCCCTTAATTCTGATAAGCAGCTAAATCATGGGGACACCAATGAAAATGACTTGTCTTAGGAGAAAACACCAAAAGGGTTAATCTGTTCTCCATGTACCTAAACTCCTGGGATTAAACCACAGGCACCAAGAGCACTAAGTGTGCTTGGTTGGCAACAATGAGCTAAAAATGGAAAAAAACCTCATGCTGTTATTGTAACCCTTTTCCTCTAAGGCATTCTCTGATAAACACCACACCTCCAAGGGAATTGTGAGCAGCTTCCTTGTAGGGTAGGTTATATATCCAATCTTTTCCAAGTGGACATGTCTTGTCCAGCCCTCAGCACACTTTATTTACAGTGGTGGAATCTATGAAATTAATTGTTCCTACCTGTGTGGAAACCTTCTTGTCCTTAATTCATTGGCTATGCTCGATTTTTTTTTCTTGGATCAGATCTTCAAACTTCTACTAGAAATAGCTCCGTTGGGGACACCAGGCCTTCCCAGAAACTCAGGAACTGAAATGGAGACAGAAGGAGAACGGGAAATGAATTATACATATAGATCTCAATTTTTAAAGCTTTAAGTAAACGTTCAAGCACACGTCTTCTAAATAATAATAACTTAAGGGCAATTCACAGTTTATAAGTCTGAATACTCACAAGGGGAACACATGACAAGAGTCCAGGTGGCACTGGGGTCTTCCAGCCGAGCAAAGTCTTCAGAAAATGCCCAGTTACCCTTTGTTCATTAAGACACAGAGTGAGGGCAAAGAAAGGGCAAATCTTCTAAGTCTTTTTTAAAAATGTACTTCCTTTCTTCAGTTTTTGCCTAGATTTTCAGGAAACTATTAATTTGACTAAACTTAATCATAAAAATAAACATAGAGAAGGTGAAGAAGGACATTTCATTGCATACATGCACTGTGCATTTGTCTTTTCAAGCACTGTCACACGCAGACGTGAGTGTGGGCAGTGGGCCTTTGTGTGATGGCGTGGGGGGGG